ACTATTGAAGGGACAGAGCAGCCAGTCCTGAGAGTCTCAGCACAAGCTCCCCCCTGCTGCCACTCTGCACTATTAAAAGAACAGAGAAGCCAGTCCACAGGTCTGAAATTGAGACCTTCAGACCAGCTCCTATATCCTTTTAATTGTACAGAACAGCAGCAGGGATGGGGTAGGCCTTTTGCTGAGACCCACAGGACCAGCTGCTCTGTCCTTTTAAGAATGCAGAGCAGAAGCAGGGGGTTGTCTTGAGACATAGCAGGGGACCAGGGATTGAGCCAGTGTCTTTGCATGCCATCTGGTACATAACACTTCTGTACTCCCCCCACTCCAAATCTGAGTCTATCATACACTGGAAACCCCTGTCCTGAGCCTCTCACATCCCCAAACTCCTGCACCCACACATCCTCAGTCTCCTGCCACAACACTGCTGCACCCTCCACACACTGCAAAACCGTGTCCTGAGCTCATCATATTCCCAACCTCCCTGTCCTGAGCGCCTCACACACTCCAACCCAGACTCCTACATCCACAAGCTTGTGGCTTGCTCAGCACCACAACCCTCCACCTGACCCCAACACTGTCCAGCCTGGAGTTCCCTCCCTGAGCCAGCATCCCCTTCTCCACATCTTCCGCATCCAAATTCCCTCCCAGAGCTTGCACCTCTCACCCCTTCCCACATCCAATGTCGGAAGAACCTTGAAAAACAGCAGTGTAGCTGAACCCTGGGGCTGTGTCTACCCTGCACCCCTTTTCCGGAAAAGGGATGCAGATGATAAACTCTTCTGCGTCCAAGGACAGGTTTGTTGTTCTACTTTTTTTTTTTTTAAAGCAGAAAAGCAAACATGCTCTTTCGGCAACTCCTGTATTCCTTGTTTCACAAAGAATTAGGTGGCTTCTGAAAGAAGGGGTTTTTCTTACATTTGGCCCAGTCTAGACAGGACAAATATTGGAAAAACCTCTTTCTACAGAAGAATCGGGAAAAAAAAGTGGAAGTGTAGCCATACCTTGAGAGTGTATAAGGGCTGGGGATAGCAAGTGATGGAGAACAGAAGGGGCAGGACTTCAGGGAAGTGGTGGGGTCTTGGAGGAAGGATGGGGGAGGGGGGTAGATCCTGGCTTGTTCTGACATTTTAAAAGTGCTCTTGGGCATAAAAAGGTTGGAGACCCCCCCCCCTTCACCTCT